AAGGAAGGAAGGAAGGAAGGAAGGAAGGAAGGAAGGAAAGAAAGAAAGAAAGAAAGAAAGAAAGAAAGAAAGAAAGAAAGAAAGAAAGAAAGAAAGAAAGAAAGAAAGAAAGAAAGAAAGAAAGAAAGAAAGAAAGAAAGAAAGAAAGAAAGAAAACCAGGTTAATTTTAGTTTGGCAAGGGATCACGGTCCATCGGTGGCTTGCCAAAAGGATGCCAATACGATAATGGGCTCAGGAATGAAGCTGCTGTGCAAACACAGCTACGCATTTGCATCCTGATCTCCGGGGCAAGCACAGTACGCAAGGTTTTTGCAGTGTGTGACGTGATTTCTGGCTTGCCCTTCCTTCATCCTTCCTGAAAGGCAGAAACCAAGAGTTGAGGAAACCAAAGACATAATTCTCTCAATGAATTTTATTCTTCCTTCATGCCACCCGGATGCTAGAAAACAATACAAATACCAAATTCGGGGGCTGGGGTGGGGGTGGGGGGGAGAGAAGAGGAACAATATTTTCCAATGGTGTGAAGCATCCAACACTCATGATAGCATATCAATACCTATGGCCTCATATCTGTGCCTGTATATACAATATAGTCCTTTTAGGACTTGTGGACTTCAACTCCCGGAATTCCTGAGCTAGCCATTCTGGCTCAGGAATTCTGGGAGTTGAAGTCCACAAGTTATGAAGGGACCATGGTTTTCTACCTCAAATGTAGACCGATGTCTTACTCAAGCTAGCTAACTTGTGACTTCCAGATCTAAGCAGGTCTAGGTAACATGGTCAAGAGTGAGGAGTTTTGGGTATTGTAGTTCAACAAGAGATGGTGTGGCTTGGAGTGGACTGCTCATACACCACCAAATCTACACGTTTCGAGGTCCATTATCAGAGGCCAACACAGGTGGGCCTCTTGCTGAGGCTACCCAACCTCTTCACCTTCACAAAAATGACTTTTTAAAAAAGAAATTGAAAGAACTCAGGAGCCTACCCAGCTAAGCTTAACAAGGAAATTTTAAAAAAAATCTAGTGTTGACAATGGATTCATCCTGACTACACACACTGATACGGTTAAAGAGCAAGTTCAGAAGCAGAGGGGAAAATCAGTTTGTGAGTGAAAGAAATATTCTGCCTGAGTGAAGGAAATATTCTGCTTCCC